ACACAAGTTTTACAGAGAAGGGTTAGTACTTGATATTGAAATGGTTTGAAAAACAAACTTTGTTTTTGCCCACTCACGTTTTCTGTTTTACGCCCTCCCCAGGTTTTAGGTAGCGAGGACGTGGGTGACGAAAGAGGCATTGAGGCATTTCTGACAGAGCACCCTCCATGTAGCATTTTCTAGTTATCACTTGTGTAGTGTTTGTTTATTCTGGATTGCACCTAGGATACTTGAACTTCTAGTGTACCTTTTTCCTAATACGTTTGTCACTAGTACTCACTGATCTTTTTATTGTAAATTATTTTGTCGACTTTATTTTCCTCGTATTTTCACTCTGTTACTTCTGCATTGCGCACTTGGCTACGTCACCCTCTTGTGATGGCCAGCACGCTCCAATTTTTGAATCGAGGTGTGTCAGATGAGAACTAATTTCTCCTTTATAAAAACATATAAGTTAAGAAGGCGTCCACTTATAAATATTCCTCTATCGGAGAACCGCTCGAACTAGGAAGGATTAGATCACTTCCAACCAGTGTTCCTATACACAAAGAGAGTACATTTAATAAAACTCTACTAGAATGATGGAATTTCAAAAAAAAAAAAAAAAAAAAAAAAAAAAAAAAAAACAGCAGATTCGAATTCGGGACATCAGAAAACCTAAGGAGGGACCTCTGGTTCCCCATGTGCTGGCGTACGCACCACCACATGCCACCACAAGGTGGTGGCTCGGTCAGCCATGCGCCGCCACATGCCAAGATAGGTCACCAGAAGGTTCGCCTGCGCTGCCGTGGATGACGGCAGAGCACAGTACCTCCAGTGAAGGCACGTGTGCTCCACGCGCCGACCATGGCCGACCTCTATGTGCGCCCACGTGCAGACCAAGAACTGGGTTTCTAGATTGGGCAAGTTCTAGGATTAGGTTTTGGGCTTTGGTTTAGGCCTGGGCTAATAGGTGGATGGGCCGATTTTAGGATTAGGTTTGGGCCTGGTTCTGTTTTGAGCTTGGCTATATAGGCCCAAGGTTTTAGGGTTGGGTTTGGAGTTGGGTCGGGTTTCTTCGGGCAAGGCCTAGCCCGTTAAATTCACAGGTCACCAGACTCAATAAAGAAGAAGGCCGGAATTCAACCGAGAGTTTTCCCGACTCCATTTTGGGGTCAAAACTCAACTGAAAACAATAATTTAAAAACCATATCGAAGCGAGAAACATGGAAGACAAGTTCATACCAAAATGGGGCCGAGTTATTGTCGGCGTTGGCCAAAAATCCCCCTACAAACCCGTGGTACTCGCTGGAAAACATGGAAAGGTTTCCTCTAAGTATATCTGTGACCAAAACCATCCTAAAATGTCTTAAAAACTACCTAATCACCCTACCAAACCCGATCTAGGAGTATTTACGGGTGGGATCGACTTACATTGTAGGAAAATCACATGCACAGTGATTGTGCACATTGCCGAGAAAGAGAGAGAGTGGGATCGAAGAGGTGAATGAGAGAGGGGAAGGTCCAGGTGATGAGAATGGTGTGGTTGCAATGGTGATGGTCAATGTACGTATGTATGTGTGTGTGTAAGCTCGTCGGAGATGAGAGAAGAGAGTAAAGATGAGAGAGGGAGAGAGTGTTCTAGAGAGAAAGGTTTCACGGGTGGAGAAGAAAACACCCCAGAAATGGGGTGGGGAATCGCCACATATCGGCCATGTAGAGGCCCAAAGTGGAGAAAAATCTCCACCTGAGAAATTACCTAATTACCCCTATCGTACAAAAATCTTAGAAGCTTCGTTTTAGCTCCAAAGTCGATTCCGGTTGCACTTACGCATTCGTATCAACAAGAGCTACGGGAATAAAATAAATGAAAATTCTAATACGCCAACAGACAAAAGTTGCTTCTGTTTTGAGTCAATTTGCTTGTTTTGTGCTGTTTTCAGTCTTTTTAGTTAGTTTTGAGTTCTTTAAGTCTAGTTAAGTATTTTTAAGTCTAGTTAAGTGTTTTTAAGTCTAGTTAAGTGTTTTTAAGCCTAGTTTTGTGTTTTCAAGTCAGTTTAGAGTAGATTAGCAATCCCTCCTAATCCCCATCCTAGAACGATCCCTACTTACATATATGCTACAATTGTCAACAAGAGGGTTTAATTTGTATGCTAGTTTATAACACATCAAACCCCTCTCCTTATCTTAAGTCGATTCTCGCCTTGTTGGTTATGCCAACACAGGATACTTATCTGATCCACTCAAGGCGCACTCTCAATGGGTTGTGTCTTTATCGTTGAAGGCACCGAAATCTCTTGGACGTCAACTAAATAGACCTTTGTTGCCACTTTATCTAACCATGCTAAAATTCTCGCCTAACATGAAGCAACTCAGGAATGCTTTTGGTTAAGAGCAGTTGTGGACCATATTCGAAGCTTTTGCAATCTTTACCCCGTCGTTGATGTCCCAACGATGATCTATGAAGACAATGCAGCATGCATCGAACAGCTCAAGAAGGGTTACATCAAAGGAGACAACATCAAACACTTTTCGTCAAAGTTCTTCTTCTCACATCAACAATAAGAGCATCAAAAGATTGAAGTTATGCAAATTCGTTCACAAGACAATCTAGCCGACCTCTTCACCAAATCACTACCAAAGGCAATGTTTTAGAAGCTTGTTCAAGGAATTGGTATGCGTAAACTTTCTGAGTTGTAACATTGCTAGTTCTCTTTGGAATTGTGTCAAACTCAAGGGGAGAATGTTGAAGTATACTTACTTGATCTTAATGCACTCTTGTTCTCTACAATTAAGAGCATTTTTCCCACTGGGTTTTTACTACCTAACTAGGTTTTGACGAGGCACCTAGCTTGGGTTGATCATATCCCTGATAATGTCCAGTAGACGTTTCAATTTACTTTGCATTATTCACGTGTCACGCCCCAGCCCCGAAATATTTATTTTCGGGAATTAAGTTTGTTGATAGGCCCAAAATAAAACTCTAGTTTATTTAGCCACCAATATTCACGCCCATTTAATTAAGTTCCTTAATTCCACAAGTTCTATAACCTTAATTCTCTTATCAAAACATAACAATTTTATTCCCGATTCATTACCCTTTACTTCTCTTAGATCAATTTTTGCAAACTAAGAGTAGTTCTCAACTAAATTGTAATTCTCGATTATTTAACCTCGTTTAATTTTATGGTTGCATCTAACTTCTCGTTAGACTGCCTACGTACCCTAAACAGGGATCAAGCCATTCGTAGTTCACATATACAAAAATTCAAACCAAATCCAAATATATTCATTTAATCCAACATATACCACAATCGTATTAATATTCAAACCACAGCAGTTAGGTCTCAAAAGCATAATTAGAATAACAAAATTCGCCTAAAAACACAACGTCGGCTCCCTGGCCGTGCGCCGCCACACCCGCGGCCGCGGGTGGCAGTCGGCCGCCCCGGCTTGTTGGAAAATTCAACTATTTCTAAAAATTCTCAAAAATTACATAAATGAATATCTCAAAGAGTAGAGCAAACTTTATAGCTGCGGCCAAGTCCAATTTGGCCTAGAAAGGCTCCAATTTACCTCGAACCCACCGGAAACCCTTAATTTTGGGGGTTTTATATTCGACTCCACAACATCTCCGATGCCCAAAAAAATGCATGGGCTTTGTTACTGAGGTTCAGGGGAGCCTATTGGTGGTGGTGGTTGAAGGAAATTGTTTTAGGTTTTGGTGATTCAAAGATAAACCCGTCGCACCCTCCGATGTGGGTTTTGTAAAATCAAAGCCAAATTCTCTAACTTTAAGGGTAGAATTGATAGAGGGATCGATTGGCTTCGAGGTGAAGATCATTTTGACACCAATCTCACCATCCATGGTGGCCGGAGTTGGGAGATAGAACCAAGTCGGTTCATAGTTCCTCAAGGGGATCTGTTTCCCCTTCCTTTTTTTCTCTCATTTCCCCTCCTTGTTCTTCTTTCTTATTGGTCCTCTCCCCTCATCCTTTCTGTTCTTTCTCTTCTCCCCTTCTCATCACAACCGTCCCTTCTTTTCTTCCTTGAATCTTAGCCACACACATGGCTTTCCCCAAATTTGGCTCAAAGAAATATGGAGCCTTCTCAAAAATAAATTGACCATTTTGTCCTCGAATTTAAACGTTAATAACTTCTTGGTTATAACTCCGTTTCACGAACAGTTTGCGCCTACGCGTTCGTAACTGTCGTGAGATTGAGCTCTATTCAAAAAATATAAATAATGGCTCGAAAGGCCTACGGATTTTAAATAATTAATTCTCAAACTTCATAACTAGTTTAATTTAAAACTAAACTTAAATGAATTAATATAATTTCTCCAAAAATAACATAAAATCTCAATAATACAAAGCCGTAAATTATAATAATTTCTGGAAACAAAACTTTAAAAGTTCTCGATTAAATTCTTCATAACCATAAATCGATTTATTGTCGATTTTTTCCCACATATTCACAATTATGAATATAAAATTCATATATTTAAATTTTCAGGGTATTACATCACGCAATTTTCCTTAGACTATGGGTTTTGTCCTTACTTGGGTTTTTACCATAGCCATGGGGTTTTTTGTGAGACTTACTTCCTTATGCAAGTTCCTACCTTATTAAGAATAGTGTTTTCCTAGAATCAGTGCTAACAAGTCGACTTCCTCAACCTCTATATGATGCCGAATCTACTTGAATATTTACACACTCAAGGGGAATTGTTGTAAACTTCTAGTTTAAGTGTGATTGTGTAAATCCTAGATTAGATTTTATTCTAGTTATTCTTTCCTATATGGACTTGTATTCCTTGGAGGAGAGGGATTTCTTCTCTCTTATTACTATAAATAAAGGCATTGCATAAGGGGAATAACACACATTCCTCTACACAACCCTACAAACACATCTCCCTCTATTTTCTGTATGTGCCGCCGACCCCCTTCTCTATCAATTAAATATAGGCCACAACAATAGATGTATTATAATTCATGATTCAATGATATGAAAGAGGAAAGTAAACCTAATTACAAATGCTGTTTTTTTTCCTTTCTGAATTATAAAAACTTTTTTCGTATACGATTGTACTAATGGTAAATACATCTAACAAGAAATAATTTCAAATCCGAGCTCAATAAAAATTTCGAAATTAACGGAAAAATATGTGGTTAAAGAAGTAAAAAAAGAACAGAAAATAAATAGCAGGATGTTAACGAAATCAGCTTGAGGATGGAGTAGTATACTGAATAGAGCCAGATCATTGCTGCGTCAGAAAATCGGAAGCACTAGTACTGTTGTGACTTATGGATGGTCCAGCAGAAGCGATGACCGAGAGTGAAGAAAAAGGAGGCGGTGATGGCGAAGAAAAGGAAGGGGAAGAAGAAGAAGCAGTAGCAACAGCAGATGTAGATGCAGAGGATGACAGAACTATTTGATCATAAAGGCTCATGGGTTGCCTCTGCATATCAGCCAACATAGAATAGCTAACAAGATTTCTTGAGGTAGAAGCCACCTCTTCCGATGAATGGAATGCATGAGAGTGAACAATCGACTCATTGGATGTGGCAACGGACAAAAGGGTATTTTGAGGAGCAGAAGGAGTCAACTGGGTCGGCGGAGCAACGGCGGTTGACAACAGGAGTCTGACGTTTTCTGGGAAGTTGAGTTTGGCCTTATTGCCTCTGAATCGGAGGGCAGCTTGGTCGTAGGCTTGGGCAGCGGCTTCGGCTGTTTCGAAGGTGCCGAGCCACACCCTTGCGGCCTTGAAGGGGTCTCTAATCTCAGCCGCCCATTTGCCCCACGGCCTTTGTCTCACTCCTCTGTATCTTCTCCTTATTGGCTCTGCTATTTCGGGTGCACTGTAAACATAAGCACTAATTGGAGTTGGAGGGAACGCTGTCTGTGTAGGTTCTGTTGTCCTTGTTCGTACGGTTGAGCCTTCTGAAAATATTGGTTAAAATAAAACGGAATGCGTCAGTCTTTTAACTGAATTGTTTAATCTCAATCGCTCCGCATTTTGCGTGACTGGAATAGCTTACAGAAATTGCCTGCTTTTTGTAATTTTATTTTGTCTTTGAAAATAAGTAGAAAAGAACAAACAAATAGATATAAACACAAATCATAATTGTTCTTATTTTGTTCTAATTGAATAACTTCAAGTGAAAGGGATCGAAGCGTGCACGACTTTAATCAATTAGAAGAATCTTAGAAGGATATTTTATTGCTTTACTCGCAAGTCATTATATCTTGTGAAATGTAAAATGTTAAAATAAAATTACCTCCAAAAGCAGAGGATTGCCGCTGAATCTGCTGTGGAAATTCACCAAAAGCTCTACAGAGCCTTGTAACCGACTCGGACAAGGGAGTGCCGCCACGGCCGCTGCCGCCTTCCTCTTTTTCTCTTCCTCTCTTAGTTCCAACACTACTCCATGAACTAGTCCCTGAATCAGAATTCCCACATGCAGGTGCAGCAGTAGCCACCTCATCATCATCTCCGGCCACCACATGCGTCAAGGCCGATACCATCACCGACATCTCTCTCTCCCTATCCAACTGCAACAGCATTGACGATGTCGCCGACACTAATATCCCACCTCCAGCACCACCGCGACTGCCTTGTCCTCCCTGTCCGTCGGCATGTTGGTCGTTATTGCCTCTAGAATTCGCCACCTTTAATACTATAAACACAACCACCCACCCACAAAATACAAGACCAAGTTCTGTACTGTTTACATGCAAGTTCTCTTTCGTCAAGAAAACGAACACGCCCTACCACCAGACACGGAGACTTATTACTTGTAGCTTTGAACCGGCATCTAAATAGAATTAAATAAACGCCGCCATGGGAATTAGGTCGGTTAATTTAATTAGATTGGCTCATATTCAGGCAGAAGGAAGCCGATATATAATAATAATATTCAACGTTAAACTAACTAGGTAGCAAACCAAAGGCATATGTCTAGAATGGATAAGAAGCATATACGGGAAGGAATGTTATCGAGAATTCGACTTTTCTTACCACTTGGTTTGTTGCAACATGGAGTTATGGATTAATCTTACCAACTACTATTCTACTAGTGAAATTAAATCTGGTTCAAAGTCAAGTTTCAAAGTTCATTAAACTATTCATGTTAAAGAATCATTTGCGTGTACTATTATTTCTGAATTTGGAAACTTAGTTCTGCATGCCTCCAAATTCAGGTACACAAGTTTTCCAATTTGCATGAGTTGAGGATTCCTTTGGTCTTTATGAAGTGGCAGCTTCTCTTGACCTCATCACCTTAACAAGTTCCTTAACAAGCTACCACTTTCGCATTAACTAGCAGCCTTATCTTCAGGTTTTAGAATCTAGAGGCCAAAACAAGTTCCTTCCTTGGCCATGATCGCTTGGATAACAAAAATTAGCAGCGTGTTCAACACCACCACCACCATATCCATTCTACTCATTGACTGAGCTTGGTTGACGAGTTGGCACGCTAGCATTCAATCGAATGACATAGTTAGCTTATTAGCTATTCTGCTTATGCACCATGTAAGCTTGATAATTTTTAAAATCAACACTATCAAACTACCGTAAAGCACCACAAAAAAAGAATTGCACCACTCTTTAATGATCTTGCAATAATCAGTAAAAAGTTCCTTTGCTTAATTCCCATTACTTGATACCTAATCGAGAACAACTACACGAGTTCTCTTTAAAATTACTCTAGTTCATCTAGAGACTTGTCCAGCCATCTCTCTAATCCCGAAATGTAATCCCAAAAAAGTCCATCATTACGAAACTAATTCCACCGCACACACACTAACAATGACAGCAATTTATGTGTTAATGTGATTCATTAACTAGGAGTATTCTCCCTTCCTCTTGTATGTGGACCCATGTCTTTAGCACTTGTGGCAATTTAAAATTTGGGGCGCATATGACAAATGACGGTGTTGCTCCCTAATATTATCATATGGTAATATTAAAGAGACTAAAACTTTAAATTAAATTTACAGATTAAATAATGAGCCATTAATGAAAAAAATAAGCACGTTTATTAATATTTAAATAATAAAAAAAATTAACAATCACATTAATTGGTTTGTAAACTTGATTAAAAAAATTGATTTTCTTAACACTATCCATTGGTAAGAACATTTACTAAAATCTATCGTTTGATAAAAAAAAATAAAAAATAAAAATCCACTATTCTTACCCCATATATATCAAGTCAAATTTGACTGGAGCCAAACGAACCGTTGTTTGTTGTAGGTTGGATCTAGGTTTTTATTACATAAATTTTTCAAAAATATAATTTGATACATTAAGTATCATAATATAAGTAATTAAAATTTTTAATTTTTAACTAGTTAACTGTTTGTATCATAAAATTTAGTGTACTACAATGATAAATCTTTGGTGGGTCCGGGTCTGTGTCTAACAGTAGCAAGAGGTTTAGGAGGCAGATTGTCTGCCCTCCTGTTTGGATACCCTTCCAATCCTCTCTTATTTTATTCGATCATTGTTAAGCTACATCAACATTTTATATTGATTTTTTTTATAAACATAATGAGACAAAAAATAATAGAAATATAAAATATTACTGTGGCTTAATCGTGACCGCACAAAATAAGAAGGGATGGGGAGGGCATGGAGGGCAGACAATCTGACTCCCTGTTTGGGTGCCCTTCCTATTCCCTCTTATTTTGTGCGGTCACAGTTAATGGTGCTCTTCCTATCTCCTCTTATTTTATGTGGTCATGGTTAAACCACGTTAACATTTTATATTGTTTTTTTATAAAGATAATAAGACAAAAAATAATAGAAATATAAAATATTAACGTGATTTAATCGTAAACGCACAAATAAAAAAAAAAAAAAAAAAAGATAAAAAAGGCACCTACCAGAAAGGGTGACAATCTGCCTCCAGAGGTTAACGCGTTTACAATAGCCACCGCCACTAGGTGTAGGTCGGTCGGTCCACCATGTTGACTGCACACCTCACAACGCCAAACTCACATGAATTTGACCCTTCCCGAGAAATCCATCCATCTCCAAATGGGAAACGAGTTTTGACAAAAATAATAATAATAATAATAATTAGGAAACCTGAGCCCATTTTTACTTTGATGTACGGTTAGTTGCAATTTAGACTTGACGTTTAAATTGAAGTTAACTGTTAAATTTTGATGTCATTTCTTAAATTAAATATTTATTTTTTGTTAAATGATAGATTTTGTTAAATTAGTCGTTAAAGAAGTTTGAATTCACGTCATCATACAAAAACTTAATATTTTTTTATCACTGTAGTAAAATATCACTTGCATATCTACATTCATATCATTTCCATGGATGGCCCCCCATGCCTCCACTAACGCCTGTTCAAGTTTTTCGGGCCTTTGATGGTGACTCGGGCTCCGCTCTTGGTCTTCTTTACCCAGCCTTAGGCCCGCTTTCGCCCTTTTGGGGGTCTTTACTTGCTGCAGGGTTTCTGGAGTCTTCTTTGGGATCCTTTTTTTATTGTAGCTCCTGCTTTTATTAATCATTTGACCCTTGTTCAACAAAAAGAAAAAAGAACGATTAAGATGCAGAGAAATGTGGATAAATGTACGAAATTTAAATGTAGAAACTTATGATTCGTACGGCAACAATAAAAGTCGGGTATACTTTCAAACAAACTGGTACCCTGAAAGGGACCTTAGGTACAAGTGTAAGGCTCCATTTGTTATTATCAGCTGTTTTAGACTGAATTAATTTTAGAAACCAAATTATATTGGCTTCACATAAACGAATTAAATCGTAAAGCGATCTTTGTAGTGTCAGGCCAACAAATTAAATAATAAAAATGACAATTGCCCTATGTTTGGTGTTTGCTCATACTGAACTTATGATTTTTTGTTAAATTGTAAGATATTTCATTTTAAAATTAGTTTCTATTATACTTTTGAGTCCTAAAACTATATATTAGAGCAAATTCAGATCCAATAATTTAATATAAATGTTAGGAAAAATATAAATTTTAAGAAAAGCTACCAAGGTCGCCCAATTCTATCTGGATAAAGCCACAATTTTGTGTGCCAAGACATTTATAAGCATAGGAATATTTACATATTGCCCCATTGCACATGATCCCACGCCCCCCCCCCCCCCAAATGCCGGAAATTGTCTTCCGCCACCAGTGAACCTAGTCATTCTTCAACAGTGACAATGCCTTTCCACAGTTTGCCAAAAAAAGTGATACCAATATATTTAACTTGTATAGGAATCATATTCTTACAGTGAGCCAAAAATTAGCATTACACTTAAATCTTTCGGCCCATTGTAAGAGCGTGATTCCAACATGAGTCCAATATTGTATTACACTCACTTTTCGATAAACTGTGGAAGGCCTAATGAAAAAAAATAGCAATACGTGCAACTTTTTCATCTTTAATTATGTTTGTTGTGTGAGTTTATTTATTTATTTATTTTTATTTATACACAATAATATTAGAGAACTTATGAGAAAAATTCATCACTTAACATTATTTTTTGCAGGTCAATATGGGATAGTGACCTGAGATTGAGTGACACACTCCGACTCGGAATGTCCACCTGGACTTCGAATCAAGCTGTGCTGGCAAACACCAGAAGGGTGACGAAGCCATAAAGTGTAGTTATATGGAAAATGTGAGTAAATTTTAAACCTAAAAGTGTCTAAATATAAGACTGCGCTTGTGAGCTAGAATGAACCCATTTCACACGTGATGTCAGAGCATAAGTAAAGTACAATAAAGTAGGATGAGAATTATACCATCAAAGATAACCACCTATACCAAGATTTGCCAAGAATCATCGTCGACATGAAAGCTCAGCACTAAAACCTGGAGGGGCGAAAAATAAGGGTGAGTGGGCCTAAAACCAAAGCTTTGTTAAAAACCTTTTCAAAAACATAATAACCCCTCACTGTAAAACAAGTATAGTTTCCAAAATATACATACTACGTATAGTAAGAAATACTTACCATAGGCTGCAAAACCTCAAGAATTCAATACGGCATAATATTTTGTAAGTAAGAACATGACGTTATTTCGCTAATGCTTAAAAACATTAGTCTAATCTAGGCATACGTAGGAAGTTCTTTTTCAAATGTATGAATGGAAACTAAATAGGTATATAATATTTAAAAGTAAAGACCCACTCACAGATACTTGTGAAGCTGTAGCCATTCGAGCTAGGATAGCCGAAGTCTCCGATAGTAATCGCACCTAAACATAATATTGAGACCCATTAGTAAAACACCACTAAGACAATTAAATTTGGGAAAACGGAGTGCGGATTTGGAATAAGGATGTCAAAATACGCTAGAGAGGAAAAGAATTTTATACCAAAAATCTAGTCGAGCGATGGTTGGGATCGGTCGGAAAAAGGCCTGCAAATCTCAGATAATTCGCCTAAAAATTGGAGAATAACTTTCCTAAGTTGATTTCTATATATAGCCTACCAACAACTCGCGTGTAAGCTCGAGCTAGACATTGAAAACTAAGAGAAAATGGAAGGGTGCGAGTCCTTACCTAGGTCGAGAAGTGAGGTGGTTGCTAGATTTATCCCCGGTGTTCACATACAGCGAACACAAGTGGAAGATAGTGTAGAGAGTTTGAAAGGTGGATGAAGAGGGAAGGTCACGGTGAGGTGGTCATCGCTGGTGGTGGAGGAGCTCGCCAGAGTAGGAAAGCATGTCGATGTCTATATTCCTCCGAGACAGAAGAGGCGTGAGAGAGAGTGTTAATAGAGAGAGGGATGTGAAAGATTGAGGGAAGGGAGTTGAGTAATGAGGTGAGGTGGCAGCAAGAAAGTGGTTGACTAAAGAGAGAAAGAAACCAAGGTTTCTGGAATGAGAGAACACGAGATAGGGCAGGAATGGGGTGTGGGCCCCACGTGGCTCACAAAACAACACAAAATATCTCCAGACAAAATTACCAAATCGCCCTTC